TACCCGCCCTTGTCTTATTCATTGTCATCTGCTCCTTTTGTCCCTGTGTCCCATCATGCAGAGTCTGTGTGTCTTCATCTGCTTCCCTATCTGCCCAGGGTCAGGCAGGGTTCTCTCTCCTCTGCGGATCTCTTTCGCACGTCTATTGCTGTCTACCTGGAACTTGAAGAAACATTTTGCTAAACTCATGACAAATCCAAAGTGGGATTTTCAGTGAGGTTGGGTTCTTCGTGGTTTCTGGATGGAAAATGAGGCTAAAGGTACAGTGACTGTCCCCAGAAGAGGGTCAGAATGCTGGCCACAGAGATGACGTTCCCTAGATTTGGGCCTCACTCATTCAACAGAGAAGGCCAAGATACTGGGCTAGCCCTTCTTCTTTTATGTGTTTTCCAGATCTGAGCTCTGTGCTCTCCACTGCATGCATGTCTAATGTGGGAAGAATTCACTAGATTCTACAGCATGGGTAGCCATTGCACCAACCTTCAATCCCCTGTCTCCACAGTGTCTCTGTATCCACTGTTATTGTTCCCGTGGTCTGTGGCCTCCTCAGCAAGAGCCTAGTCTTCACGGTCTTATTCGTTGTCACACAGAGGTCATTTGGATGACAGATCTTGAAGCTACACAACAATGACCTTCAGCCATGTCTTTCTCACAGGAGGAGCTGAGGTGGGAACTAAGGAGAAACGTGACATGAATCGAGGCTGTAATCATGGGTGACATCTAAAGCTCAGGATGTCCTCAGTTGGCCCTGCCCACTCAGTGGAGAGCTTTTGGGGCTTCTAGAAACTTGGCAGGAATTTGACATCAGGCCAGGACAAAAAACCGGTCAGTCCAGGCAGGAATCTGACTTTGAGCTAGGACTCAGGAAATAGGCTCAGATTAAGAACATTTACACTTGAGCTAATATAAAGCTCAGATGGCTCAACTGAGGATTATGTGACATTCCTTTTGTCCTGGTCATCCTGATTAGCCCCCAGAAATGGTGTTTAAAGGATTTTGTTTATTGTGTTGCTTGTTCCCTGACTATTTGTGTTTATTCCCTTGTCTGTTCCTTGAGCCAGAACTGATCTTATTATTTAAAGTGGTGTAAAAGCAAACTGGGAAACAATAAACCTGCTTCAGCCTTAGAACTGGCTGGGGTCATGCTACAGTGCTGGCTAATTGTCTTTTTTTTTCTTTTCAGTCCTTGCTCCCTCCCTGGAGAACTCGTTGACTGACTGAGATAGCTTGGTCACTACTCTCCTCATTTTATCTGTCATCCTAGGGATGTGCTCTGCACCCTCAGAAGAGAGGAAACACTTCCCAGCACGCTCTGGTTATTCCCCCTAAATAAGTAGGTTCGTCTGAAATAAAGACAGAGCCCAGCGTGTTTCCCTGCCTCCTTGTGTGAGAGTCATGAAGATTATAGGTCACCATTTATATATCCACCCTTTGTCCTTCCACTGAATGGTACAATTCTAGTCATCTGGGCAGGGCCCCTGCTCATAAAGCAGCCTGCTCGCCAGCCTCTGGAGCCTTCCCTTCTGGGAGTCAGACACTCAGATTTCTGCCTTCATCTGTGGTCCTCTGAACACTCTCAACCATGGACCAAGAAGACAAGATCCCACCTTGACAATAATGCAACTGGGAGAGAGAAATCAACTTAAGCTGGATGCTGTTGCCTGGGAAACGCCTGGAGGAGGAGGTGGCATCCGCAGGACTGGATCAGTATGTGGCATCCACATGCTGCCTGTGTTTCATTATTGACTCCTCAGTGCAACCCATGAGGGCTAAGGTGTTTGTGACCAGAGTGAGGCTGCAGGAGCAGCAGGCCATCACCTCCTGGCAGGAATGAAATCCAGAGAGTTCTCTTGATGAAGGGCTCCAGAGGCAGGAGATGGAAACCCAGGCTCTTCTGTTATCTGAGTGCCTTTTTGCCTGGACTGAGACAGGGGCCAGCATGGCAAGGGTCCCAACCCAAACTGTCCCCCTGTGTGTCTCTACCTCCCTTCTTTCACCTCCCAGTCTCCTCCCAGGTTCCCTATGGCTTCAGTGCTTTCTCTGGGACACATTGGCATTTTCTTGATTCCACTTCTTTGGGCTCTAAAGACCAAGTGACTCCACGGGTGGGAAAAGGATGGTACATTAGTTCATTCTATTTCAGCCATGGCTGGAGCCAACTTCATCCCAAGGCTCCCAAGAGCAAACACATCACCACAAAGCTCACATGATCTCACCTAGAAGGCTGAGGAATGGCTGGACCACTCACCTCAGGTCAGGCAAGCATGTTCCTGTCAGGGATACTTTCCCTCCTCCTGTGAAGATCCTAGGTCTTAAAGTGTGCTTCTGGCACATAAGGACGGTTCACTGAGAACAGGGCTCTCTGTGTAACTCCACCCTGGGGTGGCATTGATGAGGCACAGGGTATTTACAGCCCTACAACATCTAGTCTGTTGTGAGAGGCCTCAGTGGAATTCACTTTATATTGGTGCTCTGGGTGGGTCTTTGGAGAATTAATCCAGAAAATGATCACCTCGGTATGACTGTGTGATTTGTCTTTTCCTGCCTTAAGAACCAAGTTGTTACTTCCTGGGTTTTTCCACCCAGGACTTCTGAGACTTCTTGTTTATTAATAAATGCCTAGGCTATACACTTTTGCTTGTTCTCCAAGTAGCTCTTAACTTAATCCCTTTTATTCTAACCTGAGCTCATCCATGTGGCTGGTTTTATCTTCTTATCTTCTTATGTCTGAGTTCCCATGGCGAATCTGTTGACTCTATTTCCCAGAATTCTCATTCTCTCTCTCTCTCTCTCTCTCTCTCTCTCTCTCTCTCTCTCTCTCTCTCTCTCTCTCTCTCACACACACACACACACACACACACACACACACAGACACACACACAC